GTATTCTTTATGAATATAAGATCAATGGTATTTAACAGCAATAATAACAGAGGCAATCTCATGTGACAGTTAACATAGCACAACTTTTCAGTGTTTTTCAAATTTTTTGCTTTTGGATAAATGAATCCTGTATATTAATAATACTGTATAGTTCAAACAAAACTACTCAATAATTTGTTTGGCTTCTCTCAGTGAAGGAAATATTATAAAATAAAACTAAACAGACAAAATGTTACTTTTAATTATTTCGTGGTAACATAGTTTGGCGATAATTAAATACTGTATATAGATTCATTTATAAGAACACTGTTACAGAATTATTTGTTTTATTCCATTTCATCATTTTGAAATTTGTTCAAAATTACTAGTTTTTAAATTCAATGAGTTATAATGCATACCGTAATTATTTACTGAAGTCTGAATTGTAAATATTCATTTATATTTATTTTGTTCTAAACTCATTTTTAAAAATATGGATTGAGTCTGAAATGTGGTTGCCATGGACACTAATTCATATATGTTTTCTAGTGTGTGCGTGTATGTGTTTGTGTGTGGTGCCAGAATTATGACGATTTCAATTTCACTTTACGCTGACTTGTGACGACAGGACCTACATTGTGACGACCCTCATCATTTTCATTATTCATATTAATATTTATTTGAATTTAAGTCAAGTTTGCGTAGTAAAAAGGAAGGTATGGTTTAATTAATATTAATATTAATATAATTGTACAATACATTCCCCTTTACTAAGAATTTCAGGCGGAATACAGTTACGGATCCGAAAGTTACAAACCTGAAAGAAAAAAGCAAGTTATGGGTAAAATAGTATGTTTGGTAGCATGGTAGCCCCTACTCCAAAGCATATAGCTGAGTGAAGATTCCACTATAGATTAGTTTTTGGCGGGTAAACAATCTTACCGTTTGCTCCGAAATGATGGGGAGCAAATTCTATCTTTCTGAACAAATTTAATGCAAAAGATAAAAAAAATACAATTTTGCATGCGACTCTTTTTTATTTAACATAATCATTATACATTGCGAGCCATTAAAAGTGGTTTTCATTTCGAAAATGATGAATCTAACAATATTTATACTCACTCAAACGTGGTATGACGTCATAATAGCAATTATACGAAAATACTTCTTCGCCTCCTTCATTATCAATGTCAAATTATGTGAACCAGATCTTATATGTTCTGCAATTTTAAATGTCAAAGTTACTTTCCAATTCCATTTACCATCGACTATAATCTCAGATTCGTTTTTGAAATCTATATAAGCAGCCACTTTCCCACAATTTGGACAGCCCATAATTCCTATGGCAGTAGAACACTTTAGGTTTTGATAAGGATTGACTGTGATACTGAATGTAATATTACTGTTTATCGAATGCGACTCCCAGGCGACTTTATTATCTGTTCGTCCAGGTGTTTTCCCTTCTAGGTCAACGCGTTTCCAACCGTGGACATTGGTTGGTTCTAAATTAGCAGACGTGTTCTCATTACTGCGAAGAGATGACTGTGATAGGTATTTTTGATGGTTAACAACCTTTCACTTAGGTAACCGGGATTCGGTCGTTTCCACGCTAGGCTGACAAAAGACACACACAAGCTTCGTTCATGTTCCCAAAACGATTCTCTGCCAAGTCCCTGGTTTTTCACCCGAGACAGCATTAAATCCATCTTTATTTCTTGTCACCCCTTAACCAATTACAATCAGTATAAGAGACTCCAAGGCCTTGCCTTCAAACAAACAACCAATCACATGAAAGTTTTACACATCATAATCAATTAATTACTCGTCAAGCTGTCTAGAGAAAACATTTCTATACATTGTCAACACTAACTAATATTGATGGGGTAATAATCTCGCACTAACATTCCACCAAGATACTACCTTTTTT